ATGAATGTTCTAACTAAAACTCAACTAAAAACACGACACTGATCGATCATTTGATCCCCATGGTTTAATCAGAGGAGGTATATCTTGGATAGTCTACAAAAAGAAGGACAAATCTTTAAGTACTGACATAATTCATTCCAGTCATGTTTAACTAAATCATTGATAAGCATTAATTGCAGAAAAAAAGCCACACCTATCTTAGGCTTGTTTTCATCTTGACTATTAGCTGAGGAACCAGCAAAATGGCAGAGAGCTAACACATGCTTTTCAGTTTTATCGAAAAAGTCAGCGAGGGGTTGCCTCCCCCAAAGCCCCCAGTCAGCATCTTGCCCTTCTCACACAGCACCACAGCATTCCCATATAAGGTGATGCTAGAGCCTCTCTGATGGTCCTCATATGTCAAGATAAGAATGTCCATTTAGCTGAATTAGACAGAAAGTGAACAGATAGAGAAATAACAGTTATTGAAAACAGAAAATAAGATACAAATAAGTATCTTCAACAACATTTTGTTTGTTTTTATATGAGAGTCACACACTGCAATATAATTTACTTATAATAATACACTTATTTCCTATACGAAATGCCGTTTCTTTTAGGTTTTCTATACTTTTTCAATGATACGGTTATTATATTATAACAACAGGCCACTGACTGAGGGAAAAAATGTATTCATCAGGCCTAAAAGTCCCTTTATTTGTAAGGGATAATTCCGTTATTGTTCTGTAACATTGCCCTGTTATTGGTTTATAAGATCTGTGTGAATGTATTGGCATTTTGGCGGACTTACTCTTTTTAAGTCAACCAGCTACTCAAATCTCTTCCACAAGAGCGTCATTCACTCATTTTATAATCCCAGATAAACAGGTAACTCGGTGATAAATACCCTGCCCTAAGGCAAATTAACATCTGGCCAGAACCATGCAAGAAAGCTGGAACTGAGCCTACAAACTTCCAGGCACAAGACAACTTCACTGCAAAGACTAATAAGTAAGTCATTTCTTAAAATAGGTTTATTTTCTCTTAATCTAAGCAGGTAAATGTAATGATCTGCCAATGAGATCAACATATTTTGCCTTTAAATCAAATGAGATATTATGAACTTGAAGTTAGATATTGGAGTTGCTTTATTCTTATTTTAAACATAAATCATGCCATTCCATTGGCAAACTGTCATATGCATCTGCTTAAATTAAGAAAAATTAAACTTATTTCAAGAAAAAAAAGCCCTATGTGTATAGTGCTTTCTATATGACCCCTTATTTTGACAATTTAGTGCACGTTTTTAACGATACTGCTTTTATGTCTAAAATTCAATTCAATTCAGTTCAGTTTATTTATATAGCGCCAATTCACAACGCATGTCATCTCAAAGCACTTTACATTTCAACCAGATCATCCAGTCAAATTGATTCAAAGTTTTCTATCTAAGGAAAACCAGTTGATTGCACCGATTTATTGACTCAAATTCAATCCCTCACACTAAGCATGCTTGTAGCGATGGTGGAGAGGAAAAACTCCCTTTTAACAGGAAGAAACCTCCAGCAGAACCAGGCTCAGTGTGAACGGCCATCTGCCGAGGCTGACTCTGGTCAAACATTCTGTGTGGCATCCTACTCACTCGGCAAGTGGACTGTATCGGATTTTGAATCGGTTTTGGTACTGGCTCAAAAAATATTGCAAAATCATCAAGAAAAACCTATGTCAGCAGCTCTGTTGCTGTGGGATACCAAGGCAACCCTGTCTCTCCTCTATAGGAAGTTGAACTTGTCTGCTGGTCATCACCTCCGTAGGGTCCATTTTTAAATATTAAATACGGGCTAAGTAAGGCTGTAGTACTGGGGTAGCTGTTCTCTAGGAATGGAATAAATCGGTCCATCAAACAAATGAGGCAGATGGTACATAGTGTATTTCCTAAGATGACTTTTAGGAGGAGTTTTTATCTTCTAAGATGGAAAATGTTAGTTTCCCCAAACAGGTGCATCTAATTTAGGATCATTAATGGAGTGGAGGTGGACATTTAGAAGGCAGATTAACAGGTCTTTGAGAGTCAGAATTCTAGCTGACAGACGGGTGTTCGAATACTTATTTGCATCTGTATCAAACTAATAAATATTTAAAAAAAAATCATACATGGGATTTCTGCTGAGCCCAAAGTCTGCAAACTTCTCTAGTGGATTGACATTTTTTAAAACATGTAGTTTTGTCACCAGGCTACTGGTGGACATCTTTGCCAGCCTTTTCTTGTTTTACAGTAATCCTTATATTCATTTTATGCATTATTCTACAGAGTCAGATATTTTTTTTCATTATGCATCCAATTCTGCCATAACTGTCTTGTTGACACAGCTGCAATTGACTTGACGTGGCATTTTTATGCAGCCCCCAACGTATCATTACATAACTATTGTGTTCGTTACCAATTGAGTTGTAGGCTTTTATGACTCTGTGAATTCTTTATGGATTACCTGTAATTTAATATGACACCCTGACTCTCTTGTGTCTTTGATTTTAAAACCCTGCAGTCTATTCTCAGCATCTTTGTATCCTATAGATTCTGTATACAATCTCCCTGTTATTTATTTGTTTATTGCCTGCCATTCTACGGTACATGTTGTTCATGTCATATTCACCCTGGAGCAATACAGCCACACATTTTCTCAGGAATCTATCCGCTTTAAAACACAGCGTCCTTCTGATTTATAATACAATTGTGCTGCTCATTTCTGCCATGCACTAGATCTCTGCATCTTCAAAATAGACATACACAGAATAAATCTTCATCATTTAGTGAGAGGCCTTTCAGCAAACTTGGCCATTTCTTCTTTTTATTACCGGTACATAATTAGGCTATTAATCCTTTAAACATTGTTGCACTAAAACAATCTACATGTCTGAGCACCACTTTTTCAACTTGCTGACTAAATCATGCATCCAAACAGTTTTATTTCAAACACTTAACCTGTAGTTTGTGGTTTACTGTTCTGTTTTGTGTGTGTGTTTTTAGCAATCATCAATTACTTTGACAATTAGAGGTGTGTTTAAATAGTCAACTAAAAGGCATTTTCATTACTTGTTTAGTTCCTTTAACAGTTGCTCTTCTTTTGGTCTTAAGTGTTTACGTGTCAGTATGATTGTATTTGTGTAGTGCATCTCATTATCATTTGCAATGTTTTTTAGCTGCATATATGCATGAGTTTACCTATTTTCTCAATGTGGGAAAGCAAGCAGCCATACAGAACCTAGAATAATAAAAAAAAGCATAGTGGCAAAGCGAATCCTGATTGCTTATATGGTATAAACACACTTTCTTTGGGAATAAAAAAAATTTAATTTAAACTCCAATTCAACTCCAGTTCATTTTTTTATGTATTTATTTTTTATGCTATTACTATAACACCTTTAACAGACACAGAGATGAATTAAGAAGCTGGTGAAGATTCTCAGTCATCCAGGTCATAATCATTCAAAAAATAAATAAATAAATAAATAACCAAAAAAACACTGAACTTTGTCTCCAAGTTTGAAGATGTTTCAGCGTGGCTTGGTTGCTTTTTTCTCTCAACGCTTTTCCTGACTTTTTGAATTGAAAAAGCTTCTTGGATGGGAAGAGAAACGTCTTCAAACGTGGAAACAAAGTCCAGTGGATTATTTTTAATTTTCTTTCTTTCTTTTTTTTTTAATTAAGAAGGTTGAATTTTTTTCGTGTATTACAAATAAAACTTTTCTAACCCCAAAAACTGCAATAACACTGCAAAAACATTCTAAAAATTGGCAAAACTTTCTCAAAATAAGTGTATTTGCCCCTGACTTAAGCAGATATGATAATCTGCCAATGGAATTAGTATTTTTACCCTCAAAATAAAATAATTAGATATTATGCACTTGATACTTATTTCTACGGAAGAGGATTAAGGCCACTGAAAAAATTAAAAAAGTTAACTGATTTTCTATTTCAGTATAATATAAGAAACAAGTCAGAATTCTGACTTTAATCTCAGAATTCTGACTGAATTCTGACAGCTAACAAACATGTTAGCATCAGCTGTAGCTATGTCTGTTTTAAAGACTAAACTATCTCTCTTGTTTCAATCACCTGCTCTTCCATTAATATAATAGCATCACCGGGGACCCCTTGGGCACCTAAAAACTCACCTAATTCCGACGTTTTCCACCAATGTTTTAGTGTTCCTCCCAAACCCTCTTTGTCAGTGAAGCACAGTGCTCCCACATCTCTTCCTTCATGATGCCCATCTACATTAAAGTCCACAATTCTGAGATTGAAGTCAGAATTCTGAGATAAAAGTCAGAAATCTTAGAAAAAAGTCAGAATTCCAAACAACTCACATCTTTGTCAGTGAAGCTGGGTGCTCACACATCTCTTCCTTCATGGTGCCCATTTATATTAAGGTCCAAAACTCTGAGATTAAAGTCAGAATTCTGACAAAAAAGTTAGCATTCTGAGATTAAATTTAGAACTCTGAGAAAGAAAATCTGAATTCTGAGAAAAAAGTGAGAATTCTGAGATTTAACTCAGAATTCTGAGGGGAAAAAAATCAGAATTTTGAGATAAAAGTCAAAAATTGTGAGAAAAATGTCTGAATTCTGAGATTAAAGTGAGAATTCTGACTTTTTTTCTCAGAATTCTGACTTTAATCTCAGAATTTTGACTTTTTTCTCAGAATTCTGACTTTTCTCTCAGAATTCTGACTTCTTTATTGTCAGAATTCAGTCAGAATTCTGAGATTAAAGTCAGAATTCTGAGAAAAAAGTCAGAATTCTGAGAAAAAAGTCAAAATTCTGACTTTTTTCCCATATTATACTGAAATAAAATTTTAAAATCAGTTAACTTGTTTAATTTCTTCAGTGGCTCTAATCCTCTTCCGTATATTTTTCACAATGATTTATTTGTTTATTTAATTTTCAGCACCTTGGCATTCCATACCCAATAACCAGCCTTGCACCTTCTCCACTGCCTCTGCTTCAGTGATTCCTCTCTTCCCTCCTTCGGGTTGCAGTAGATGTTTTTCGGAGCTGCAGAGGAGAGGTTGTGCGTGTCTCTCTCCTCCAGCAGCAGCAGGCGCTGACTCTTTCTTCAGCCTCCACCTTTCCCATCAAGGATATGGGGACCACCAGATTAGATGGGATTATTCCTCGTGTTGCCTGGCTTTTTATCCTCCTTGGCTTTTCTGGGACAAACGCAGAAGGTGAGACAGACGCGTATTTTTCTTTATTACTTTGCTTCCCAGAGGCGACGATACGCAGTGAATTACGCGTGTTTAAAAGTGTTGAAAGCCAGCGAAGAGTTGTAGGAAATATCTGCACGTGCGCCTTTTTTCAGAAATCTGCGGCTTTCACAGAGAGGAGCGCTGATTGGCGCACTTAGAGGCGTTTTTAAAAAACGGGAAAAAAAAAAAGAATTTCCATTTGGGATGCTTTACTAAAAGTGGTCTTAATTTTCTATTGAATCAGTTCAGCGCATATATCTTTATACCGTTATACAGTTTATCCTTATGGGGAACACAGCACTGAACGGATTATGTGGCTTCAGAGCGCAGAGTTTCGGGCGCTCTGACTTTTGGAAATGTTTAATACAATATAGAGATTTCTTGACGTTAACTTTCTCGGAGTTAATATCCAGAGACAATCATTTAAATAATGTTTAACTGAGACTTACGAAACTCTAGTTCTTGGATCATGACTTGAAAGGAAACTGAGAGAAATCGTTAAGATATATTTGAATTTCAAAAAAAAAAAAAAAAAGTTAAACTTTTTCTGCATTTCCTTGCTTTTGAACCACATACCTGCAAGTATTTTATGTATTTTTATTTTTTAATTTTAAACATTTTTATTTTCTTACTAAAACAAATTTGCAATTTTTTGTTCAGGAACTGAGCACAATACTTTAAAGGTACAGTGGAGGATGTTTTTTTTCCTGGGTGGATCATCTCAATAAGTGGTCCTCCTGATTGTCAATCATTCTGGTGATATGTTTATGTAAGGCCATCCCACGTGTTCGTCCCCATTTTCTTTTACCAGTGGTGAGTCTGACAAAGTGGAAAAATTGCAAATCTTCTTTTGGAACGTAAGTTTGTTTGAGCGATGCAAACAGCAACTTATGGGCTTGTGCATTTCTGCACGCGTCCCTCTCAGGAAAGGGCGGATCTTTTCAAAAATTCCCAAAGATCCTCCACTATACTTTTAGACAAACTTTCTTCTTTTGTCTTAGGTCTCGACCAGCCTTGCCCAATTTCTAAATGTTGCCACACTCTCTCAATTGAATTTAGGTGGTTGGCCACGTTGTCTACCCAGCCTTACATGCATGCATGAAACCTTGAGGGCACCTCAACCAACTGAATGTTTTAAAAAAGGCCTTAGAACATTTCTTTTTAGCAAAGTTTACCTTTAGATGTTTTTCTCTCTTCTAAAAATAGCTTTTTCATGCTTTTTCTCTTTTTTACCTGTACCACATTTTTTTATGAAAAATGCAGTATAAATTAAATGTGTTATTATTATTATTATTATTATTATTATTATTATTATTACTTAAATCTAATTTAGGGAGATATAGCTTAAACATCTAATCTTTGATTTTTCTACCAAATCCGATCAATTTGTTGCTTTTTTCTCTCACTTAGATTTCAGAATAAAAATGAATATTGACATGCAAACTTTGTCTAAAGGTTCCATTTCATACAGAGTTCCCTTTATAAGCATTTCATAATGGTCATATGTGAAGCCTTCAGAAATGAAAAAAACATTTCACTTTTAGCATTGCTTTTCTGAACCTCTTAGTACCCCCTCATGCCCTTTATGATGTCATGAGGGGGAAATTAGCTGTCTAGAGTGGTCTCTCCCAGCCAGGTATTATTCCTTGCCCCTAACCTATCATTATGATCTCTTACTGGTTGTCATAGTTGTGGGTTGTAGGGGTGTGGCCTTCAGGAGGACAGGGTGTGAAGAGCCAAAACAGCTTGTTCAGAGGAGGGCTGAATAAGGAGATTTTTGGTAAATGCCATCTGCTTGATCTGAGAGGAATCTTCCGCCATAACCAACAAAAACATGCTCTGGGGGGTCTCATTGTTAAATTTTTCAATTGTAGCATAATATGTGACCTTAATTTAAGAGGCGCTGAAATTGAAGCTGTGAAAATGCTTATAAAACAATGTTTCACTATGAACATTGAAAATATAACAAACTAAATATTTGCAGTGGTTTTACACAGTCAACTAGCTTGGGGAGTGTTGATCTACAGTATAGGCCATAGGCTAGCTCTCAGAAAGTGACTAGAAAGTGAGTTCCGTTCCAGCATCTTGGGTAATACTTTTTATTATGATTTTTATGAAGTAAAATGGTTAATCTTCTTTGAAAAAAAGTTGCACAAGTGGGCATCTTTAGTTAGTGAGTAATCGTCATTTGAAGTTGGGTAATACATGAAAAAATTGACATTTTAGCCTCTAATAGCATCTTTGACTCCAATTATCTCTAAAAGTAGTGGTTAGAGCAGTAGGCTTGGGCTCAAAGAAGGTTGCAAGTACCAGCCTACACTCAGAGTTCCTGAGCAAGACCTTTAACCCCACACTGCTCCATGGGCGCCACCCAATGGCAGTCCACTGCTCCCCAAGGGGATGGGTTAAATGCAAAGGGTGAATATCCCCATTGTGGGACAATACAGGGATTTAGATTTATTTTTTTTTTTTACAAGTTATAAATGCACATTTAAGAACAAAAGGTGATGAACTGATGTTTACCTGAGTTATGGAAGCCCAAGAAGTGCACTAGTGGAAAAATAGATCACACCAATCCCAGGGTTTGTATTAATATTCCAGCCTTAATCTGAACCATTTCATGCCCGGCTAACTGTTTGGATCTTTGATCTGCAGGGAGTTGGACTGGCACCCAACCTTTTTGATTCCATTTTTGTTTTACTCTATGTTTATTTAGTTTTTTCCATCAAACATAGCATATTTCATATCAGTCTTGGACATGTTTTGTGTTTAACTGTAAGTTGGATTGTTGAGTTCACGATTAACAGCTCTGCTGTTAACAGTTTCTCTCAATTGAGGAATAAATCTCACTGCTCCCCTTAAGTTACTTGGCTGCTTCTCTGGTTAATGCTTTAATAGGTTCTGGTAGTTTTGCAGTATTTTCAGAGCCTTTCTATTCTCATTAAATATATTGAACATAGATTGTCGCGCTTGAGAGATTGTTTTATTCACTCTACTTTCCGGCCCTGTCCACTTTAGTGCCTGCACTTCCTGATACTGTTTGTTCATTGCTCTTCTCCAACAGACCCCTGAGGTATTATGTTTGACTCACAGTAAGATTAGAATAAACAACAAGCTGAAGTGATTAGTTGATTTATGAAGGTTGCACTCATCCCTGTAGCTGAAGGAAGACATTTATTTGTGTGGATTTTAACTTGCAAGTTCTTTTCAATCACAAAATATCTGTTAAATCATTTTGAAAGTAATTATTCTGAGTATAAACCAAAGCACAAATAATTAGAAATGAGAAAGAAATGAAAGATAAACATCCTTTACTGGTTGAGGTGTTTCCCCAAAACAAATTAGTTTTCAGCAGGCTATGTGAATCTTTCCCTCTCTATCTCTTTTACCTCTTGCTGTTTCTCTGCTTCACTTGTTTCTTCTCTCCTCCTGCTGGTTCTGACTCAGATGAGTCTAAAACCCCCCCATCCAACTCGTGTCTCTGCTTGATGCTGATTTTCTAAGTCCTGCTGGTGCTGCTGCCACCTCCTGTTCGGTTATCAGCAGATATCCCTTCGTCTTATCTTCTCTCGCCCTGTTCTTCTCTTAAGGTTTGCCATCCCTTTGTGCTGCCCGTCCGCATGGATCCTCAGCTCCCCTGCTGCATCTGTATCTGAGAGAGCTGTCATGGTTTACTTTCTTCGGTTTTTATTTTGCTTTTCATCTTTATGCCTCAGTCTCCTGCATGCCTCAATAGTGTCTCCTGATCTCTTTTTTTCTTATCCTAAAATACTTCCTGCTGCTTCTTTTTCATTCTTTTTCTTGAAATATTTGTTTTTCTCTTGGCTGAAATGATACCTATGCTCACATTTAGTTTATTCATTCTGTCAAACTGTATGAACATTTTAACTTTGAGAGTTTAGTTATATCTCAGTCTATGTCGGGTTTAACTCTTGAGATACATTTTCACCTCAATTTTTGTGGTGCACATTTTTTACACATCGGCAGATGCATCCTGTAGGGATCAAAATTCCTTCGAAGTACAGAGAATCCCAGTTGCAGCTTTCAGCGCTAAGCTACCTTCTTCTTTTTCCTGAAAGACAGTTCAGTGTTTATTATGGTTGCTAAATGGCAACAAAGTAGAAATCCATATTTCAAGAGCCAGAGACTGTTCCTTGTTGGATGGGAAGACTCAAGTGCTTTTTTAAGTGATATATTTCATGAAGGTTGCTCTGTGACACATCCGCCTCCAGGGCTTCAAAGCCACTGTGCATTTAATTACCTTTTAACATTTTCAGTATGATGAGGTCTTCTAGTGTTGAGTAATTTCTCATTTCAATGGACGGAAAACGAAAAGAAACAAATATTCATGCACGTTTTTGATAAGACTGATGATTATTTTACTTTGCAATGTAAAGGACAGTTTTGGTCAGAAGGGGAATGCAGGAATTTGTTAATGGATTATTTGCCTTCTATGCTTTCTTTAAACCAACATTAATGTAAGTAACTTTAAACCTTCATTAAGTTTTTTTCAGAACTTTGTGATTATACGTTGACCTACTACTAGTTGAATGACACCTCTGTCTTGGCCTGAGGGGGTCTGTATCACTTTCACAGACACTAAGCAATGTTGAGGAGGGTGTCAGTAACACTGCAACCTAAAACAATTGCAAATGCGCAGACTGCTTTCCCCATTTGTTATAAAGACGGAGGTTGATGAGACTTAATTTCCCTAAGAGACTGTATATTTGTCAAAATTGTACAGGGTTGATATTCTGGTGATGCAGCAAATTCCTTTAGGGATCTACATGTGTGTTTACTGTTAAATTATCAAAGATAACATATTTATCTATTTCAAGGCTCTAAACTTGTCAGAACATCAGTTGCTGATACAGAAAATTGTACAAATAAGTACAAGTTAAACATTTATTTCCAACATCATCATTTAACATTGTTTCACCACAATTAGATTCATTAACTAATCACTATCCATCTTTCAC